GGCTGCATCATCCTGCAGGATCAACTCAGAGGTGCGTCGTCTGGGCGGTGCCTACGGCGGCAAGATCACCAATCCGATGCCGATCGCCGCCGCCGCCGCCCTGGCGGCCGTCCGTCTCAACAAGCCAGTGCGCATTGTGCTCGACATCGAGACCAACATCGCCATGTGCAGCGGCCGGATGCCTTACCTCGTCTCGTACGAGGTGAGCTCGCCGAGGCTCTCGGCCGGGTGCCCTACCTCGTCTCGTACGAGGTGAGCTCGCCGAGGCTCTCGGCCGGGTGCCCTACCTCGTCTTGTACGAGGTGAGCTCGCCGAGGCTCTCGGCCGGGTGCACTACCTCGTCTCGCACGAGGTGAGCTCGCCGAGGCTCTCGGCCGGGTGCCCTACCTCGTCTCGTACGAGGTGAGCTCGCCGAGGCTCTCGGCCGGGTTCCCTACCTCGTCTCGACCGAGGTGAGCTCGCCCAGGCCCTCGGCTGGGCTCCAGCTGTGGTAGGAATCGGGGAAGCCAAAGGTGAAATAATTTGCCATATTGTCTAGTTGCAGTTGGATAACGCGTGTTCGACGTGTGCATGATGTACCAGTGACTAGGATGCTTGTGGGTGGCCATTTTATCCTACACCAAAACGGGATCTCTCCTGGGCATATTTGACCACGAAAAAGACATGTGTTATTGTGCCTCTCTTGGGTAAATTCACGGCTGTAACTGTGCTCATATGCTCATGTCTTATTTCCGTCCGTGTTGCATGGCACATGTTGTGAACATGTTGCGTTCAGACTCAACACCCGATCGCAAAAATCTGTTAGAACTATTTATACGTGTTTTTGTTAACGACCCGCCCAGACAACTTTGGGTTGCCCCATTTTTGTACGTCTCCCGTGTGTTTGCCAACAATTCATGAATGAATGTGCACTCTGAATGAACTACCAAACGTCACCTAGCCCAGTCCGCACTGTCTTGATGGTGAATACCTTCCATTGCACGCGAATAACAGCTGGTTATTTTGTTTAAAGAAGCGTAGCGACGCCGGTGCCCCCTACACCACTATCACCGAGTGCGCAAACGGCAGGCTGGCTTCGACGACACTGGCAAAATCCACGGGCTCAAGATGCACGTGATAGCGAACGCGGGTTACACCAACACGGTGCTGAGTTTCATCGAGCCGAGCCACGTCATGCACATGGTGAAGAGCGTATACCGCGCGGACAACTGGAGCGTCACGCCCGGCACGGTGACCACCAACCAGCCGATGTCCACCGCCTGCCGCGCTCCAGGTACGGCCGCCGCAGGCCGCTGTCCCGCCCCTGCGCTGGTGACACGCCCGACACGTCAGGCGAGCGGAGAGTCACCAGTGATGCATCCGACACGCCAGGCGAGCGGAGAGCCGCTAGCACACGTCCGACACGCCCGGCGAGCGGGGAGTCGCTAGTGACACGTCCGACACGCCAGGCAAGCGGAGAGTCGCTAGTGACACATCCAACACGCCAGGCGAGCAGAGAGTCACCAGTGATGCACCCGACACGTCAGGCGAGCGGAGAGCCGCTAGTGACACGTCCGACACGCCAGGCGAGCGGAGAATCATCAGTGATGCACCCGACACGTCAGGCGAGCGGAGAGTCACTAGTGACACGTCCGACACGCCAGGCGAGCGGAGAGTCACCAATGATACACCCGACACACGGGGAGCGGAGAGCCGCTAGTGACACGTCCGACACGCCAGGCGAGCGGAGAGTCACTAGTGATACACCCGACACGTCAGTAAAGTGGAGGGTCACCAGTGACACATCCGACACGCCAGGCGGGCGGAGACCCGGCTTACAAGCCGAAGAAGGCGACGGCAGCGTCTGAGAGCGCTGAATAAGCCGGAGATGATGATGCGTGGCTCACTGTCTGTTCGCTGAGGTGGTTTTAAGAAAGGTGACATTGGCAGTCTTCTCTTCGTATTTTGTACTATCCAGAACAGTGTTGCATGTCTTCAAATGCTTACCAGCTACCGATGAAACCTGCCCTATTTCGCTGCCTGAACGCCAAACAACGTTTTCCTATAAATGTCGGCACTTGATAGCTTCACCGCCTGTGAAACGCTGCCTAACTAATGGAAATCGATGCACCCATTTCCTGATGATCAACGATAAGTACTAGGGGCTGCCCGTTTCTGTAGTAGCCGGCACCAGTAGCATGCTGTTAATCGAATCACCTGATTAATCAACATACTCCTGGATTCGTCTTTGACGCGCATTAATGCCTTTCCATTTCCTGCCGCCTTGCGCAGGTACCACAAACGCCATCGCTGCTATAGAGATGGTGATGAATCACGTGGCCCACCAACTGAACAAGGACCCCTGGGAGGTGCGACAGGCAAACTTCGCTCTCCCCACTGCCGAAGTGCCGTAAGTACTGGAAGCACGGTGAAAGGTGTAATACGGGATTTATGTCGTGTCTGACGATGGTTAACATGAAGGCAAAAAAGGTAAGCTTGCAAAAATAAACGAAAATAAAAGCGTCGTTCAGTTGCCTCCTATGCTAATCGATCAGGTTTTTGCATTTGTTACATCTGATTGTTTAAAGTGCACTTACATCAAACTGACGTTGCCTTGTTTGAGGTGTTCACAAACAACCACCGAATCAGCTTGAAAATGGCAGGCTTACTAAAATTTTCCGCTGTAGCACGCCAATGGGCACCGAACAGGACAACAAGGTGTTCTCCATGATGATCAACGAGATGTTCGATAAAGGCGACATCAAGCAGAGAAAAGCTGAGATAAACGCCTTCAATAAGGTATTAGCCTCTATGTGGTAAACAGCCATGAACTGGACTTGTATCTGCGTGTGCATCTGTGACTTGTATCTGCGTGTGCATCTGTGACTTGTATCTGCGTGTGCATCTGTAGTGGTCCCAGAGGAGAGTTTATGGGGACATTTCCGAGGACTTCTTTGTGCTTTCGTCATACGGTAGTTGACATGAAATAATAAGACACTTGTCATGAAGTGTGTACTTATTCGACATGCTCTGTTCGGGTCTGGGCCAATGCCAGGAACGGAGAGAAATGCAGGGAACACCCCCCCCCCCCCCCCCCCCCGAGAAAACTTGTGGAGCTTTGCGCCGGACTTAGGCCATTAAGTTAGACTTAAAATAGCATCGGTAACAAGCAAAACGTCACGGTGTTCCACTGCGAGAATAGACATAAAATACTCCTCATTCTCTGCAATCTTCGCCCGGTCCCAGCCGAACTATTTGACAAACGGTACCAGGTAGAGATCGCATCTGAGTAGCAACACCTAAGCAGGGGCGTAGTTTCGAAAGATAGGTTGGCGGTGTGCGGACCAATACCTAATGACTACATACTTACCCAAAATACACCCCAATAAACATTTCAGCTGGATTTGGCTCATTTATTTGACGTTGGAGCCGAAATTGCCCCCAGTTGAAATAGAAAACCATTTACCTCCACCCAGGCATACTGCTACAAAATCTATTCAAGGATTTTGATTAACTCAGAAACACGAATGAAGTGCATTTCAGCAAGTTTGACCAGGTAATTTTTGACCCTGCAATGATTGCAATTTGCCCGTCCCGTTTCAGGCCAACCGCTGGCGTAAGCGGTCGCTGGGCGCTGTTGCCAATGTTGTACCCAGTCGGCACAATGGCCAAGATGTCTGCTCTGGTCTCCATATACGACAACGACGGCACGGTGGCCGTGTCCCACGGAGGTGTCGAGATGGGCCAGGGCCTGAACACCAAGGTCAGGCAGGGAGAGAGAGAGAGAGAGAGAGGAGGAGAGAGAGAGAGAGGAGAGAGGAGAGAGAGAGGAGAGAGAGGAGAGAGAGAGGAGAGGAGAGAGGAGAGAGAGAGAGGAGGAGAGAGAGAGAGAGAGGAGGAGAGAGAGAGAGAGGAGAGAGAGAGAGAGAGATAGGAGGAGAGAGAGAGGAGGAGAGAGAGAGAGGGAGAGAGAGAGAGAGGGAGAGGGAGGAGGGAGGAGTGGATAGAGAGGGGGACAAAGCCAGAGCACAGCAGACCCGACCAGACCAGGGCAGAGCAGAGTCCGTCGTCTGTTGACGCCAGCATCGCCTGTATGTGATGTAATTTAGCTTCCGTCCTAGCTGCAACGCTGCCGCTGTTTCGGACGGACCCGGCCTGCCGTCGCTGCCTCGCATGTTTCGGTCTCGTCGCCTGTGGGAGGCGCCACTAGCGCCGCGTCCCAACTGTGCTCTTACGTCTGCTGAGTGTCGCCGCGGCTCAGCAGTTTTCCAGTTAGGTCACGTGACCGGAAAGTTATGCGATAGTTGGTCGGAATCTGCCCCCCCCCCTTCCCCACTCCAGCCAGAACAGGATTGACACGAGCCCGGGTGAACGGTAATGTGGTCCGATGGGGATGGGTTAATGTTGAAAAGGAACAAAGTTTGTAGCACGCCGTGTAAATCTGTGTGAACCTCACAAATCTATATGTCATTCTGGTGAACCAGGTGAAAGATATATGAGTCCAAGTGCCAAATTTTACATCGACAGGTGTAAAAGCAATGAAAAAGATGGTTAGCGGACAGGTTTTAAACCCCTAACCTGTTTCGCTGATTTTCATAGCACACACTGATAGGGGGGGCCGGTGACATCCTGCCGTTTGGAAACTTAGAAAGGTAGAACCTCGGAGAAAAAAAAAACATTGAGTTTTCTCAACAGCAACTCGCAATTGGTAAGAGATCCCATGTGTTAATTTGAACCTTCTAGATTAACTCTGTGGTCAAATTTTCCTGAAACTCAACCTATTTCAGCGTTGAACATCCATGTGTACGAAATCATGCGGCGCCGTAGACGCATGAAATATAAAGATGCGTATTTTTGGTGGAAAGGTGAGTGTAGTAGCTAGGAGTTGTATCTATTCTTAGTCTTCATTTATAATGGAGGACTTCGTTAATGTAGCAGTGTCAGCCCTCCGCGCGACCCGCAGGATCGTCGGTCGCCGCCCACCGCCCCCCGCCGGTAGTGGATCGTCTTGCAGTGCCCCTAAAAAACGTCTTCGCTTCTCCAAAATCAGAAATGCCAGGACACGTTTTTGGTGTCAAAACACGCGCAATGGATACCCTAGAGGCAACTGAAGATTTAAACGAAGCCGCACAATATGCTGGACTGGAATTTCAGAAAATCTTACGGATTTGGAGCGTCGCATCACCTCGCCCCCCCCCCCCTTCCCCTGTCCTCCTGTCACGCCGAGTAAGTTGTTCAGAAAGAAGTAACGGCGTGATGGAATCCCTAACTTTGTGTTTTGTTTCCTCGCTGATCGCCGTGCATATGGTTACCATGGAAACCGTGGGGAGGATGTCATGCATTTGTTCAGGCTTGGTACTCTTAATAGGCCGTCATCATAGATGTAGAAGCTCGGAAGAACTCGGTGGTTTTACGATTGGAGAGTGAAGAAAGCGTGAGAATGTGGAGGGTCCTCCAAATCTGGACGTGTTTTGAAGGGACTGCTGCAATGCTCACATCTTTATTTGAAGCTTGAATTTGAAGGTATTTTTGTAGTTAACACCGCTGATACTTTTAGTGAGGCTTAACTGATCTGTTCTGCCGGCGGCCAGTTAAAGCCTTGTGCTATTTTAAATTGCTGGCCATCGCAAGTACAGACATAGATATAATGCTTGTGAAATTTACTAAAGATGTCTTGCCCATTAAGCCATAATGTCAATCAACAAGCTAGGCTGAATGATCGCCAAAAGTATTATGTCAATGTTACCCAGACGAAATTTGTGATCGCGAGCCGAGCGTCCACATTCTGCTCCCGAAACTATCGGACGTTGGTACCAAAAATGAGCCATTAATTTACCTGCTTACATGACTGCAGCGTGCCGTCTTTTCCAGCTTATTTGCGTGAATAGACCTGCTCAACAAAATGTTAATTTGCAGGCAGCTATCTAGAAACACATAGCGGCCAGCCAAAAGCTTAGAATTTCCATCTGACCAGCAAAGTTCAGCGGCCTATTAAAACTATCCAACAATTCATGCATAGCGTGTGTGCCGTTACAACGAGTTTGTCGCTGAGACAGGCTGAGGGCAAAGGTGCTACTTGTCGATTTTTGGCCTAGGCATGGCCTTCTACCATGTTCAATTTGAGGTTTAGGAAAAGAGCAAACCGTTTTCATAACTTGATCATCAAGAAAACGCAACATGACTTATTTTGAGGAAGTACAAATACTCAGTTTCGTAGGCGACTTAGTTCCGGGGTGACTTACGACTTTCCTCAGGCTCTTAATTTTGCCCCCCAGACCTGTTGGAATTTAAGTTACCAGATCTAACTTCAGTACCATAGATAATCCCATCTAACAATCTACAGCAAAGTTCATGATTTGAGGGGGTATTGGATGGGTCGATTTCGCAGAGAGCCGCCTCTTTTGCCGGTGAAATGATGTAAATGGGTCTGATTAGCACCTTATAGACCCTTCTGTTTTCTCAAGAACCAAGCATGCTACGATATGCAGGAGACGGCGTGGAATAGCTGTTGGAAATCTTTATGAAATATGTGCAGGCGGTTAGTTTAGAATGGGGTTAGAATGGTCTTTCAAGGTCATGAAGTGTGTGCTTTTATGATTTAAAGCGCTTGGTTTACAAGGAGGCATGGCCTGACCTTGCAAATATCATGAGTACGATGGCAATCCACTTCAGCGCGACATAAATGAGAGAGGAGTCTGGAAAACCTTTTGAGGTGCATTTCCTTACCGAGATTAGCGACATTCATTAGCTTTGAGACAACTTCCAGCGCCATAACTTCGAGAAAAAATTGATCGCAGCGATAATGAGCATTGAAGCAATTAATTAGTATCAACGATAAGGTATTACTCGTACTATCGTCCTGGTCCGGTGTGTTAACATGAACTCAAAGTTGTGGCCAGCAAGCCTTCCGGCTATCGCCAGGTATTGTTAGCCCTGAGAACTGTATGCCGTTCGGCTTGTCAGTCATGTATACGTCATAACACGAATTCTCTGCTTGAAATTGCTGGGAACTGTAGCGCCCTGGCCACGGCAGATCTGCTAAGCTGCGCTCGTCGGCATGCCCGCCAGGTGGCGCAGGTGGTGGCGCGCGAGCTCGGCGTTCCACTCGACCAAGTCTCCGTCAAGCCGAACAACTCGCTGGCCAATCCCCGGCAGCACCGTGACGGGCGGCAGCATCGGCAGCGAGTGGTGCTGCATGGCGGCCCGCTCGGCCTGCCAGCAGCTGCTAGAGCGACTGAAGCCGTTCCGCGCGGCCGAAGGCGAGCCCCAGCGACCCTGGCTGCAGGTGGTCCAGATGGCCTCCGGCAAGGGGGGCGTCAACCTCAGCGCCCACTGCGTGTAAGGGCCCAACGGCTGGTCTTAGGTGCCAACCTAGCCACACGTTCCATGTACGGTTGTGTGCTGGCTTCGTGTTCGCCATCCACCTCACGCAAGAGTGCGTTTGCTTGTGTCACCCCCACGCCCTGTTCCATACGAAAGTGTGTTTGCTGCTGTGAACTGTACCGTGCGGTTCATGTTAAGACATCCCCTTGGCTCGCAAACCTGGAATCGGTCAGCTTCTCAAAACAATGCATGTAGTAGCTAGCTCCTGAACAGAATGAAATCACAAGGAACACAAAGTTGAAACGAGAAAGCAAGTTACATCGAGGGTCACTAAGAAAAGAGAAGTACTCACTGCAGTGACAAGTTCTTTCTCAAATGGTTTTGCATCCACCTATAGAATCACTTCAAGCTTACTGGAATTGTTGTTTCCGAGAACAAATCATCGTCGAACTAGCCGTCACAACGACCAGCATATATCAGTTCGCCCTTGCAGCTCGCCCATGTTAGGACCATTGATAAATGGCCCTAACATCTGAGGTACTCTTAGATACTGAAGAGCTCTCGGTTTAATAGCCAGGATAGGTTTTCATTTCCAGCATGGACGTCTTTCAAGCTTTGTTTAAGAACATCCAGTTTTTTTTAAACCTACTTTTCATTTGTACCAGGCTGGCACACTCAAAACAGCGAGCGTGTATCCATTAGCAGGCAAGGCACGGGCTAGCCTGGCTTTGGGAGCTACAGAGCAACGTGCCAACCCGTGAGATAATGCGCACTGTAAACACCCTCATCACTGCCCACTCAAGTCGAAGATGTGCATTTTTACATACTTAATATGATGTCCCGCGAAGTTTGGAAACGGTTCCCGCTATGTCTACAACCATCAGACAGCGACTCCATAACGTCTATGACCTCTATATCTCCGACTGCCTACCAGCGACTTAATGAAAGCGTTCGACTGAGCAGGCGCTCGGACACCGTTCACAGGCAGGCACCCAAACCGGCCGGGTACTCTGTGCTCGGGCTGACGGCCGCCGAGGTGGAGCTGGACGTGCTCACTGGGGAGAACCGCTTCAACCGAGTGGACCTGTACGAGGACGCCGGCCAGTCGCTCTCGCCCTGGGTCGACGTCGGACAGATCGAGGGCTCCTTCGCCATGGGCATGGGCCTGTTCCTGACAGAGCGGCACCGCTACGATCCGGCCACAGGCCAGAAGCTCACCAACCGGGCCTGGGTAAGGACCTTTGCTTTCTCTGAATCGGCCCCACCACAAGCTGTTTTTATTTCTTGGTGATGTATTGACTTAAATATCAATGACAGTGACAGGTTTGATAACTCGTCACGGATTAAGCATTTTGTCAATACAAGACCATAAATCACAATACACAAACACCACATGCGTGGCAAACTTACATGAACAGCAAATTTCAAAATGTGTCAGATTGTAAAGTCCACCGATAAATCCGATTTATATGTTGACACGGCGAGCAGAAAGGGCCGGTATAGGCACAAGCGCTGCTGAAAGTGTTTCGCAGTCCCAGAATACGATGAGTAGAGTCATTTGTGATAGCTGCTTCGTGCGCTAAGGGTGCATTCCGGAGACATGGGTGCATTCCGGTGCATTCGGGAGACATGGGTGCATTCCGGTGCATTCCGGAGACATGGGTGCATTCCGGTGCATTCCGGAGACCACATCGAGAACACATATAAAACATACGCCTCTCCTGGATGTATAGTTGTCATGTTTTGGGTATTCTCAGAATTTTTCAGCATCTTAAAGTAAACATGTGGTGCGACTCACCAGGACATTTCGTGTAATGTCATCGCAGGAAATGCCGCCATCACATCATAGGCTGCATCGGTAATGCTGTTAATATCAGCCTCTGTCTTTTCTTGCCGTTTATGTAACGATAACGCTGGTGGCATGTGTCCACGTACCAGCAAGGGCAAGCGAGCTGAAGTTGTTCGTCCGACAAAGGTGAAGACACGCTGTCGTTTGGTTGGAATGGCTGAGCGGTCAGCGTGTGTCTTGGCAAGTTGCAAAACGTATAAACTCTTTCTGGATGCGAATGAGAGACGCATTATGATCTCTGTGTTTCACCAGTTTTGGATAGTCATGCGTAGGGATATAGAACAGTACTACAACGCAAAAATAATACAAAATCTGCGCTTGGTGCTGCTTTTCTTATATTTCATGTCACAAACGTCTCAATCCCTTTCTTTCAGCGTATAACAAAATGATCTTTTTGTATCTTGCAAGTCTACCAGTACCTACCTGCGCACTGACTGACTATTTTCTTACCACTGCGAGTTCTAGTGCCGAAAATAGCCGACCTCCAATATGCCCTGAGACACTCATCCCACCCATGATTAGGCTACCATGAGACTATTCGGTTGATATAGCTCGTAATAGCGTGAATTCTGGACCATGCAGAATAATTCAGAGTATTTCACGGGTAATTTTGAATCATTTCTCCATATTCTCGTACTCAAACATTTGGTTCATTCCCTGGTTAGCTGAATGTTGCTACTTCAAACAGCGCGCAATGGTAGTTGTGTTATTGCCATGTCTTCTTTCGGTTATCATCGTTATTACTCATAGCTGTAAATATTGACGCATACTGCAGAACTACTACCCACCAACGCACAAGGACATGCCGAGGGACTTCAGAGTGAAGCTGCTGAAGAACAATAAAAACGACATCGGCATCTTCAATTCCAAAGGTAATGTGGATACATTGCGATGACTTACAGAGCTTTCTAAAATGGCTGAAGCATAGCTTCAGCGGCTGCGGTGTGAATTGGAATACAGGAACGTTTGTTTGTTGACTGGAGGTGGTATCGACAAAGATAACGGCTTTGCGTGTGTTATTTTCTTGTGGCTGAATAAATGCAATGCCAGTCTAACAGTCATCGACAGCGGCCAATCTCCCGTTTTGACCCAGCGTACGTGGAGCATGTAATACCGTACAGGACCGGCAAAAAATCCAGGGCCTTGGTCGCTGTTGCAATTTCTGCCTTAAACCGGAGGTTGAGGGCAAACATTTAATAACGACCAAGACTCTGGAAGCCATTCCGGCCCAAGTGTGTTCTGCTTTTTGCTAAGTGCTCCTGTGCGACAGAGATTGAGATGAATTGAAGCCATTCTTTCGGTCAAATTATGGCTCTGACGTGGAGTAAACCGCGTTTAGATAATGAAAAGGCATGAAAGTTATGAAATGTTAATTAAATACTTCATTCAGCCAAGCCGTCACAAGGAAGTGGCATGCACAATCTTCGTTATCTACAGTAATGTTTTTTTCTGAAATGGGTCATTTTACCTCACATGTCAGTTTTCAACAATCATTTAGTCGTTCTGAACATCAATTTTTATTCTGAAATGTGCCATTTGCCTCAAATGTCACTTGTGAACAATCGGTTCTACGAGTGGCTGCAAAACTTCCACAGCAACAAATGCACTCCAAAAAAGTTTCTACAAATTTCAGTCGCATTGTTGTCCTTATAGCTGCTAACGCGTGCATTAATGGAACATTTCGACCCGAGTTCAAGATTTTACCCAGATTAAAAAACACTGAGGCAGAACGTTCTACCATACGCACGAGCTAATGGAAAAGTGATGCCACGGCATTTGGTGAAAGACCTTTCAGGGCCAGAACAGCGCTATTCTGGCACTGTCAAAAACCGGAAACACGGTAGATGCGTAGCAGACTAAGAGCACGGCTTCGTTGACATCAAAGGCCCACCAGATAACGATAGAGAGCTCCAAAACAACCCTAAAAATGCTTGTACATGGTGTGGGACGCAGTCACAGTACGGCGCAAAGGATAGCCAGCGCTGACAAAGCTGTGCCCATGCAAGGTTAGCTTCCTAGCCTAAGTAAGTGCGGCCACTAGGCTCGAACGCGATACGGTGATCGGCTATTGAGAGGATGTAGCAGATCATGCGCCCAGCGCCATCTGGCTCTCAGGTGAGGCGCATTTGGATATCGGTTCCAGAGTTACAAGCCTCCTTGGGAGGTAGCGGGGAGGCCCCTACACGGCTACGTTAGCCTTCGATGCATGATGTGATGTGCGATCAGTGGTATGAGGTGGTACAGAAGCAAACTTGATAAGCTGCGCCAGCAGATGTTTCGGTGGGATGGGCCGCCCGTCGACCCTGTTCGGACCCCATATGTTGTTATCGGTCACCCCAAATCTGAGGCATTCAAGAGTAATTCTCAGACGATCCTAAAACTCAAGGTGGCGGCCGACATGGCGGCAAAACAGTCACCAGTGACAATGTGCCGTGGAGCGACGGAGGCTGTCTATGAGACGAAAGTTATGTACTTTGAAGGGAAAATGGGTAATTTGGAACATACGCTGCATCGCTACTACCTGCAGGCGAGTAAAGTTTGCGGCTGTTCTAAGACAAACTGTTATTCATTAAGCAGCACTTGTGAGCACGACTTATGTTTATGCACCATAAAATGAACAGATCATGGACAAACAAAACCCAGCCGTTTGTTCTGAGCGAAGGCCGACAAAACTTGTTTCCAAAACCCAAGCGCTCCGTTCACTGAACTGCGCTGCTTCGTGTTACGTGTCGCTCTTTTGATGGCATTGGATGCTCAATATGTCATTTAACAGCAGCCCTTTAAAACTCATCCATTCCTCATGATCCAGCAGCCCACCCTGCTGTTACTTCACTACCATCATGTACCATTGTACCATCGTACCATGACAGTACCGTCGCTACTTCGTTGGCGCGTACCCCTGAGTACCGCATCATGAGTACATCGGGACTAGCGACGATGCTTGTGGCATTTTAGCGTGGTCAGCGGCCCAACCGACCGATGTATTACCTTTCGGTAAAGCTAGCCTCGCTGATATGATGACCCTGACCTGGCTGACTTGGTGAAATTGACCTTCTGGTTCGCTGTCGGCCTGTCACCTGGTTGATGTAATGTGACCGACCTTTCGCTGGGTTCACTGGCCCAGTCTGACTTAAACGACTTGTCGTTCACCTATCACTTGGCGCCACTGACGCTAGGCAGTTCGGTTTAGAGGCCATCTCGTGGCCCTGGTGGCTTGTTACGTGTGTTGCCTGTTGACGTTAATGTGACCCTGACCCCTGTGACAACCTTCGCTTGGCCTGTTGTGTTGATGTGGATAGTACAGTGACCATGATAAATCTGCTTTGTTGTCCTAGACGCGTTGCATCAATTATGTCTTGTTTTATTTGTGGTTTTTAGTTGTTTAATCCATTAGTTGTTAGTGGCTCAGCTGTTTGCCGTCTGTTAAATGCCGGGTACGGAGCTGACGTCGGGACGGCCGGTTGACCCGGCTTGCGCGTGCCGGCAGCCACCGGCGAGCCAGCTGTCTGCATGAGTAGCGTCTGCTTGATGGCGCTGCAGCAGGCGGTGGCCGCCGCCCGCAGAGACTCTGGCCACAACGACTGGGTCACCATCAGTAAGTCACCGCTGCCCTCGGATGAGTGCCGTCCATCGCTGAGCACATTTGTAGGCTAGAAACTCATGCAATTTGAAGATAGCACGGCCTGACCGTTGCCATCTACGTCGCTCGTCACGCGGACTCGTTTTCATCAGAAAACTGAGTTTGCGCTATGGCTATTTCAGACGCACCCAGTACAGTTGAGGATACCCAGATGGCCTGTCAGACGTCCGCCGAGATGTTCGTCCTTTCCTAAGGCAGAGACGGCAGCCCGCCTCGCGACCCGGCTGGCTGACAGTGCGCAGCTTGCGTGTAGCGATCGTCCACTGTTGCACCACTGCACGTCTTGGCAGCTGCGAAACACTGTGGCCAGTACTTCCAGACGATTATCTGACTTCTTTAGATGATATCACGACCTGCCGGCGACTTTTTCTGGCTCGAGCCCTGATTGGGTGGAATAGGGTGGGGTGGGGGTGGGGCAGGGTCGATGCGACTTTCCTAGACTTTCTGAGGATATTTATCCGTCGTGTTGTGTAATCGCGCTCGAGTTTCCAGTGGCCAGAGCATTTGTTGCGCGTGTTTGACGTTACAAGACTGCCTCTAGCTTTTCCGGTTCCCAAAAAGCAACGTTTTTTACGAACACTGCGCGGCGGGCACGGAAAAACTGGGCTGGTACATTAACGGAGACCACATATTTAAATACATGAACATCAGTCAAGATACGCTAAAAGCGCACAACTACAAGTTCATATGTTCAAATTAACAAAAGAGCACGTCTATATGATTTTCACGTTACTTCATGGCATCGCTTCGTAAATATAGACAGCTGGTTGACCCGGCCTGGTGGGAACAGTGCAGTGTTGCAGCAGATACGTTGTTTGAGATTTTGTTGAGGTCGATTCATGTTTTTCCACCAGAATTGATCGGTCTTAGCATGGAAGCGACACAGGCTTTGCATCGATCCCACATGCGTTGGCGTTATGAAAACGGCGAATCAGTGTGAGGATTTATCAGTACTCGTCACATCCCCTCCCGGCCTGTTTACGGAAGAGCCTTGTTTTTCAGTGAGGATTATGGGACATCGGATGAACATAGGCGCACATGTTCAGCATCTGTTTTGTGCATCCGTGTGCGCGATTCTAAAGATGCGTTAATCTTTGGCAATCTAAATCACTAAGCCGCCACATGTCAAACTTGGCCAGCTCACAAAAGGCACAATGTACCGCGAACTTTTTCAGTTGCTACCGATGCAAACAAAACTCATATCCTAGTGTGTTTTCCCGATTTTCAGCAGTTCCCCTATCTCGAAATTTGGAAACAATGACGCTCATTCATTTGAGGTCAGCACATTGTATGTATATATTTTGTTGAAAATCGCGGGCATGTATGAGTTAATGACTATTTAGCTATGTAGGCAAATATACAACATATTCCTGGCTTGAAAAAGCAAGCGCAAACCAAAAGTGTTACGAGGACAAAGCTGCTCCCATGTCCTGGGCTGCACATGCTTTCCTAAGGCCGTGTGGTTGTCAGGGTGACCAGTGTGGTGATCAGGCCGTATGGTTGTCAGGGTGATCAGTGTGGTGATCAGGCCGTATGGTTGTCAGGGTGATCAGTGTGGTGATCAGGCCGTGTGGTTGTCAGGGTGACCAGTGTGGTGATCAGGCCGTATGGTTGTCAGGGTGATCAGTGTGGTGATCAGGCCGTATGGTTGTCAGGGTGATCAGTGTGGTGATCAGGCCGTATGGTTGTCAGGGTGATCAGTGTGGTGATCAGGCCGTATGGTTGTCAGGGTGACCAGTGTGGTGATCAGGCCGTGTGGTTGTCAGGGTGATCAGTGTGGTGATCAGGCCGTATGGTTGTCAGGGTGACCAGTGTGGTGATCAGGCCGTATGGTTGTCAGGGTGACCAGTGTGGTGATCAGGCCGTATGGTTGTCAGGGTGATCAGTGTGGTGATCAGGCCGTATGGTAGTCAGGGTGATCAGTGTGGTGATCAGGCCGTATGGTGACAGCGCTTCTGGTGATGTGTTTCGATTAGTGTTGATCATGCCTTGATTGTAGCTTATATAGAGTCCCTCCTTTGCTTTTAGCTTCGATCGCTAAGTAGGTCCTGTAAGCGGGCACATCTATCCTGGTAAAGGCGACACGACTGTCGATGACGTCCGTGGTTGATCGCATGCGGACGTGGGTTTCCGTTGCATGACAACGTTGCTTTAACCGCGATTTTGGTTACTTGCTATACTATCATTTGTTGTTCGTTACGAAAATGATGCCTACACACATCACCGAAGTTGAAAAACAAAAACGCTTGGCATCTATTGAGTTGCATTAGACTGATATTGCAGTGATTCATGTTGATCAGAACTTGGTATGCCACAGGATGACGCCCTCAGGTAGAGTAAGATACGTACACGTTGTACCTCTGGCTTCAGAATATATAAAATAAGATATTAACTGAAAGATTTGTGTGGTAATGATAATACAATATCGAAACCAATTCAGCTGTTTGCAGGTAGCTGCAATGTCGGCCAACACAAATGTAAAAAATACAAAATATGTACAGAGCAATCGGCCCGAATCAATGCCGAGGCCCTCATTGGTGCAGAGTTTCCTCATCGACACGGGGGACCAACGATTGACGGAGACTCCAGTTCGGCTTTTACGGTCCCTTGCTGAAATGTGGTGAAGGGCCTCCCATTCGGTACTGACCCCCTGACAGACACTGGGGTTCCACTGTCTCATGTACCCTCATCGTAGGCTATCTTATCTCCTTACATTGTCAGAAGGCCCCGATTGCCACAAAAGGCCGTCTGTCATGTGAGGTCCGGTGCCCTGGAACACTGCCCCGGGCCGATTTGGGGTCCCCTGCCAGCACAAGACCCCTGTTAAGCACTATGGGCCGCTGACTGGCAGACTGACGAACAGGTCACTGACCCTCAGGCCTTTACCGGCACAGAACCGTCTGTTCGGTGCTGGTGGTGCCTGACCGATGTAGTGGCCCTCATCGACTCAGGGGACCCCAATCGGCGCGAAGCACTCACGATTAACAGCTTTGAAGCGGTTTGGCTCGTCGCAGGCAAACGAATTAGTGTGAACTAAGCTAAGGTCGACGTTTCGTTTGACAGTCAAATCGGATGGATTTTTATGTGTCCTGGAACAACATCAAGCTGATAAGATAAACGTAATAAAACGAATTTGGCATATCAGTCCCCAAGACATCTCTAAGCTAAGCTTCCGACTCCGAATAACACTCATCTAACTAACGGCACAGCTAAACCCAGGGCCGTGGGGAATGATGGGGTCAACGCGCCTGACTTCTTGTAGCACGTAACGCAAACCGAGACAAAAGCGCACCCAAACGACACATGTAGCGGTCGCAGCTATGACTTAGGGAACAACAAAAGCGCCTGACTCGGAAGCAACCCGCTGGCCGGTGGGCCAGCGCTGCCCAGTCGCCGGCCGGTGGCCGGAGCCGAGCCCATCGTTGCCCGTCATCACCGGCCTGGTGGCAGGAGCCGAGCCTGCCGTCGCCCGTCACCGTCGACGCAGTCTGCCGGCGCACGAGCGATGCGGCGGGGTTGATCGAACACGGCGCACGCACTGGCGCCGGCGGCGCCGCGGGCAGCCGCTCCGCCAGTGCTGCCGCCGCCGCCGCCCTGTGCCCCCCGCCAGCGGCGGCTCCCATGACGCGTGAGCCGCGGCCGGCCGGCTCGGCGGCACCCCACGGCGCAGCGCGGGTGACGCGGCCCCGCCTCACCTGACCTGGCCTGGTCACGCCTCGTGTTGTGGCGGACGGCGCGCTCGCTGCAGAGGGCCGCCACGGGTCCAGCGCAGGTCGGGGCCCCGCGCTCTCCTCGGGCTGCCAGGCGGTTTGCGATTGGCTGGTGTGCGGATTCGCCGCCGTCTAGACCAGCGCAGTGAGTCGAGTCGGCGTCGAAGCTCTGCGCGGATTCCCCGCCGTCTAAACCAGCGCAGTGAGTCGAGTCAGCGTCGAAGCTCTCTCCACCGGTGACAGGCAAACTTGCCGTCTATAAACCAACCAGTCGGGTAGAAGCGAGACCCCCGTTGAGAAGCAGCGGACGGTATCAAGGCACGAGAGAGCGGCGACCAGCGAGCTGAGGCACACCAGCCGGAAAACTCCACCCCGTCGACATGGGGAAGAAGAACTCCAAGCTGAAGGGGGAGACGGTGGAGGCACTGATGACTGTCACCTACTGTAAGTACTAGTCATGGCCATCGGACGAGGCATTAGTCTGGTGTCGACATGTAACCGCGATCCGGCCGGTCTGTGGTAACATGTAACGCCCCATGCAAGTTGTAATGAACCAGTGGAAGTGTGACCGCCAAACATTCACTTTATGTGTGTTCAGCGGTCAAAATGCTCGTCTGGATGAATTTGTTCAGTGATCTGTTTCAAACAGTCTCAAAGCTGAATGTTTGTGAGGGCAAATGAATTCAAAAGTAAGACGTTTATAACCTCTGAAAGCTATCGGAACAATGCAAGACAAGCCGCGCTTTCACTGCATCCGCTTCCGTAAAGATATGAATATCTTTGCGGCGTGATAGGCGTGGGTAAGGAACGCATGCATCCAAACTGATGGTTTTCTGAGAGAACGTTTGCCGCAATAGCTTGGACGCGCATAAAGCTCATTGGCATATTAAGATTTTACGATCGGGAAATCTCCTAATACGTGTGGATGCACTGGAAATACTGCTGTCCCGAGCACAGGGCTGACGTAAATAGACAAACGGTAATAGCACAAAACCACACGCAGTTAAAGTGACCTATCAGTGTTTAACGGATTCGCAACGACTGAGTACTGCTCAACACCCGTGCACGCTAGGGAAGTAAATCGAGCAGAAAAAGCATAGGTACAACGATAGCTATAGCCTCATTCCTCCGAGAAATACTAGGAAAATGGAAATATAGGTGTGTTGATATTTCGGCAACATGCTTTATCGAAACATTAGCAGAAGTGGCATCAAATAATAGCCTCTGCTATTACTTTGGTAAAGGCATGCTGTAAAAATATCAACACACCTATCCAGGCCTTTCCCCATTATCCAGGCCTTTCTCTGAGCAACAAGGCTATTACTGCCGTCTTATCTATCTGAATAATGTTCCTCGCAAGTCCACTTAACAACTAAAAAACAGCTAGGAATTCACAAAAGGATTAGGACCTCCTTCTACAACTTTGGTTCATCCAAAAATGCTAAAAAGAACTTGATCTAGAAAGAGAGGAAATTGGCATTATAGCCTCGCCTTATTAGTCCAACAGAAGCAGAACAAAGATTGTGTCATGAAAGTTCGTAATTGCGTTGGTGAGCTGACTTAATCATGTGTGTAGCTAATATCAAAGAGCCTCAATTCCAATGTCAAACTATGCGTCATGGCAGTTGAAATAGCGCACGCCTGAAAAATACCGGCGCCATGCAAGTGAGCGGCAGACGTGCTGAGCATTTCACGGAAAACTGCCTTCGGCGGTTTGCTTTTATTTTCGATTAGCGCACGTTTCTCTAACACAGTCGCTGGATGGAAGTAAAGCATGCCGCAACCACTGGTTTCTACGTAATAGCATGCAACATAAAAGTCACCAGCAAACACCGTTTGGTATGTATGGTAACGTGAGGAAGTGACGTCACTGATAGAATGGACCAGTGACCTCTAAGTCCTGTATGACAGCCAGGTCCTGGTTGACCGTGACGGGCGTCAGACTGGGCCGACAGACAAGCGCTCGCGTCCTGACAAAGCTGCCGCTGAAAACAGTCACGTGTTCCCGGAGTATTATCGATTCCCAACGCTGTTGTTCGAAAACGGCGTGTGATTAAACGAGTCTTTCATTTTATTCTACCTGGGGCCCTCTGCAACACGTAATTGCCAATTCCCTGCAAGCGGGCAATTCCGTTCGCAGAGCACCAGGATGCGTGAATAAAGCCCGTGGTGGGGCCGTCGCGTACATCGGCGGCCACAGATGAGCCTCGCACAGCTGGGAAGCGTCGGCAGAAAGAGCCACTTAATTAGAATGAGCTTTTCAGATTGGTTCACCGTGCTCCTTTGAAGGATGCCAGGTGGCACTGGCCTGCAAGCACAATTACCTTACTCATTTCCCTATGAAGCCGCGCAAATTCACTTTAGTTTGAACTACTGTTGCCGGGCAGATTTCGGCCTGCCCCGACTTGACTTTGGCATGTTGCCCGTGTAACCCATTATGTTGTCACAATGCCACTCTGAAGTTATTCGATTCCCAGCCTCATGTTCATCATAATTAGTAGTATTGCCCACCTTCCTGCATCATTTATCGCAAAACGTGGTTCGTGTTCGAAACTTGGATGTGGCATGTTAAGTTGGTTGAGAGTCAGTAACTTGCCGTTGATGCTACGATTTGTGCTGATGCACTCTAGACTCAAATAATTCAATGGCTATGTTATCTTGACCTGACCCATAATGTGACCATCGAGGAGGCAAAATTGGTGCAACATTTTTATGAGGTGCTACGTCTCTGGATGACTTCAAAACACGCACCGCGAAATAGTCTTCACATCTTGGCGGGCGTGTAGCTCAGAGCTAACGCCGCTTGAACTCATGGTGCACCATGCTGTCACTTTCCGGCAGTGCAGCCGTCCCTCCAGCGCGGTGTCTGGCACCTGCGAGAAGTTCAAATCCGTCAGTTTTGGGTGTTACGAAACAAAACGCCTCTTTCAGGTGCAGGTGGGCCTCGTTGCTGAACCAAACGAGTTCAGAAACCCAGTATTGCCTTCAGCTATTGTTTTCAGGCAGACGAAAAAATGTCATCTGCTGTTGTTCATCACCTTTCGCCAACTTCTGACTGATATCCACTTAGGTAAAGATATCTTGTATCTTGCATCTTGTATCATTAAAGTAAATTTTAACGAGTGTTCACTACTGATGTACTTTACTTTTGCGATCCTTTCTGCTGTTCAGGTCAGCTTAGAACCATCCCTCAAAAACTTGTGTTGAAGGAGCGAAATGGTCTTCCTGCGTTTTCTTTCCTACATAAGGGCGCACCGGGTTTCGAAATAAGTTTTGGTGTGCCGTTACATTGTGACGATGGTAATGTTGGCCAAGACAAATAGACGGCTTTTGCATTTCCTCCTTGCTGAGTAGTACCATGGTGCCAGGAAAACCAGGGGCACTCTAACCAAAACTCCAGAGAGCGCGCAATTGATCGAAGCGGAAACAATACCTTGGTCTGGTCATATGCTGTTAAGCTCAGTCATACGCGTATCAAATCAGAACATAGTTTAAGGGAGGATTGAGGCGATGTATTAGTATCAAGAATATAAAATCGAAGGCTCTTCATCGAAGAGTAGACGGCATAGAGGCAGGCGTAGCCGAAAACCGAACATTGTCCAGCCCTTCTCAAAACTCCACAACACCTGGCGGCGATCTGAGAGTTCATTGGCCAAGACGTTCTAGTCATACTGGCACGACAGATGAGGACGATGGTCCCAACAGTTATTCAGTCCGTGAAATGAGGACATTTTTTGTCTCTTCAGCTGGCAGCCCTACGAGCGCCGTATAGTATATTCAAGGGTGTACATAATATTCGTTCACGAGAGGCAGTCGTCGTCGCCATTGGGGCTTTATGGCACACTCAGATGCTGATACTACATCGTGTCCCCTACCTCTCACCCTGGCAGGAAGGACGAGCACCGCAGGGAATCGAACCCGCATTCTGGTTTCCCAGATGCACAGCTTGACCACTACACCACCAACACTCCACAATATGATATATATATATATATATATATATATATATATATATATATATATATATATATATATATGTGTGTGTGTGTGTGTGTGTGTGTGTGTGTGTGTGTGTGTGTGCATAGCGACGCCTTAATAGTTAAGAAAGCTGTCATGCAAACGAACTATTTCAAACAGTTACATTTGGGTTATGACAAATATTGATCTGGCTTGTCTAGAAGGCATTTGTAACTATACTTAAATCTGATAGTGGGACACTGCAACAAAATTGCCGTCCGTAAATCAACTGTTAGAGAGCAAACCGTTATTGTATCCCAATATTACCGCATCACCAGACGCTCAATTTCAAACAAGCTTTAGCAAAGCGACAGCATGCAACGTGCGGAATTGACACACTAGCCCCAGATTACCCACCAAGGGTCTTTGACACTGCTGGGTCATCTGAGACTGGTATTTCAGATCGCTGACCAAGTGCCAATCTGAAAGGCAGGTAGCCCGTCCCACTGAACCGTTGTTGGACCAGCTGCCCTGTCAGTGGGCTCACGTGCCGCTCTGAAGCACGGCATTACGATCCTGGCTGCCAGGCTGGGTCATCACGGCAGTGGACGGGTCCGGCGCCGATTAACCGAGATCATGCACGATGCAATTTTGCGATGGCCAAGGGGGTGCTAGACACCGTTGTGCCTTGCTGGCCTGCCGCACCTGAATTTCTGCGCGGAGAAATCCTGCGATTGCGGTGCTGTGATGTGCACCATATTCTGGCCATCACCCTCCCGCAACAGGATGAGCAGACTGGCCACACTCACTCTGAAGCTGCCGACGTCAGTTTTACCCTGGGAGAACATTGGCTCAATCAGGTTGAGACCCATTACCAGAGGCAAGCCTGGGCTCTCGTTCTCAGTCATGGTGTAGGCATGCTTGGCAGGAAATTGGATCCGCCTAGGCTCGAAAGGCACATTCGCTCTCCAGGAGTCGCACGTCATGTAAGTCGTCATTGCAGAGCTTGGGGATGCAGGCTTCGTTGGAGCATGATGGGCGCGCCTTGCTTGAACACAAGCCGTGTGATGGCAGTCCTGATGATTGCAGGCTGCTGAGAAGCGCCAAGTCCTGATGATTGCAGGCTGCTGACAAGCTCCGACAGGTAGTTCACGGCCTCTTCTGGGCTTAGGGCAGTGGCCGCATCTAGAGGCTTCGAGTTCGTATAATCACCCGCAAAGTCTTTTGGGTGTCAGGGTGGCGTGTTTGCCGAGCTAGGTCATGCTTTTGGTACCATTTTTCCACCTTGGGAAGAACCTGGTCAGCAGGCTGTCGGCAACTTAAACGTCTTTGCCGGAGGAAAGCTTGGCCTGGCTGCCTAAGCTCTGGTCGTTTCCGTTGGCCATTGCCGATTTGTAGGGGTTTGTTGGCAAACTATCGTGCGCTCCAGATGTAGCTAATATATATATATATATATATATATATATATATATATATATATATATATA